TAAGAAGTGTGGAATTTGCATTTCAACTAACCATTATACTGATGAATGTCCTAGCTTGGTGGAAACCACTGTGGAAAACTCATCTCAAGCTTTTGCTGCAAACATGATTGGAGGAAATAGACCATACCAGAATTATCATGACTCATCCTCCAATAGGTATCAACAGAATAAACAACCTTATGTTCCACCTCAACAAAGGCAGCAACCTCAACCTGAAATGTCACTACAAGATTTCATGAAAACAATACTTGAGCAAAATTCAGAAATCAAGAAATCAATTGTAGAGTTGACTCAGAGGGTGGAAAAATTAGAGGCTAAGGAATCAAACAAACTGCCTGCACAAACAGTGATCAACCCGCAAAATGTAAGTGCTATTACTTTGAGAACGGGTAAGCAAGTAGAAAGCCCTGAAGGAGCCCAAGAGGATGAAGATAAGGAGAAAGAAGGAGCGCAAATTGATGACAATGGAGGACCGAGTGAACCATCACCTGAGACTACCACTGATAAATCCAGGTTAGTATCTTCTAACTCTTCTTCTAAAACTTCTTCTTCTTATTCTCCACCTCCTCCATATCCAAATCGGTTGAAGCCGAGAAACAAAAAAATGGAGGAATTAGACCAAGAGATTTTAAATATTTTCAAAAAGGTGGAGATCAATATTCCTTTGCTAGATGCTGTTAAGCAAATTCCTAAATATGCCAAGTTTTTGAAAGAAATTTGCACAAATAGAAGGCGTTTTAGGGATAATGAGGTTGTGAATTTGGGAAGAAATGTGTCAAGTTTGATTAAGAAGCATATTGAAATACCGCGAAAATGCAAGGATCCAGGTATGTTTTCTGTTCCATGTGTTATTGGAAATTCAAAGTTTGACAATGCCATGCTAGATTTAGGGGCTTCCATAAATGTAATGCCTTTATCAGTGTTTACTTCTCTATCTTTGGGACCTCTTAAGACTACTGGTGTGGTCATTCAACTGGCCAACCGTAGCACAGTTAACCCTGCAGGTGTGCTTGAGGACGTTCTTGTCCGAGTAGACAAGTTAATTTTTCCTGCAGATTTCTATATCTTGGACATGAAGGATGATGAGGGAATCAGTCCAACAACTATTATCTTGGGAAGACCTTTCATGATGACAGCACGAACCAAGATAGATGTGCATGCAGGATCACTGACAATGGAGATAGGAGACGAGAAGGTGCGGTTCAACGTGTTGGAAGCTGGGAAGCACCAGATTAAAGATCATTCTTTGTTTTGTATTGATTTATCAAGTGATGTTGTAAACAATTTTTCTTTTTCAAATATGTCGTCCCTAATTTTGGACGAAAAAGGAAACTGTAAAGCAGGTGATATTGAGGACGCGGTATTAATAGATGATACCTTTGTGGCGTCCGAGTGTGATGTTAAGGTGGCCGAGAATACCTTAGGCAGTAAGATGTTGCCATCTGTGGTACAGCCACCCGTTTTGGAGAAGGATGCTAAACCAGTGAGACAACCTCAAGGAAGACTAAATCCTCAACTGATGGGGGTTGTAAAGAAAAAGGACACCAAGTTGCTACAAACAGGTCTTAAATATTCAAATTCTGACAGCACTTGGGTGGACCTTATACATGTGGTTCCCAAGAAATATGGAATCACAATGGTCAAGAACCAGAAGGACAAGTTGACTCCTATTCAAGACAGAGGTGGGTCACATAATGTAGTAGTTGACCATCTTAGTAGGATTGAAAAAGGAAAAGATAACATTCCTATCCAGGATGACTTTTCCAATGAAGTCCTACTAGCATTCCTTCCACCATGAAGGAGGTAAGTTCCCCCATACTTTTTCTTTGCATTTTATATATAAGGCATACATTGAGGACAATGCATAGTTTAAGTGTGGGGGTGTGGGGAAACAATTAATTTTGTTCCCTATTTTGTTTGTCTATTTTGTTTGTTTTAAATAAATATTTGCATTGGATTTGAGAGTTTGAATCAGTAACTGGAATGATCATGAATTCAAGAGAAAAAAAAAATGAGTCATGTTGATATGAGTGGATTGCTTCTATGATTTGCTAATTGAGTTGACTTGAGAATTTCCTGATTAAATCTTTTGTGAAAGAAATTTGAAACCATGTGAGTTTTGGGCTTAATGTTAAGGATGGACCACCATGTGCCATACCTATTTTTTTTTTGTGTGATTTGCCCATGTTTTGTTGATACTCTAATAGTTAGCTTGATTCTATGTTGTGCAACAGAGGTGAATATGCATGATTTGATATGATTGAGGCATTTCTTGTTTTAGCTACTTGGCCAAATAAACTTGTCCTAACATTAATCCATTGGTACCCTCTTTGAGCCTTAAGCTTATTTTTCTTGTTTCCAGTCATTGTCAAATGAGAAAAGAAGAATCTTATGTTCCTTACCTTAGGAAAGAAGAAGGAGTAATGAATTCTGTTAGAAGTAAAGTGATGAATAAGTGTGTGGGTGAGTATCACACCCACAAAATAACTATTAAAAAAGCAAAAAAGAAGATGAAAAGTTAGAGTTTTCAAGAAAAAAAAAAAAAAAAAAAAATCTTCCTTAAAAGAGCAAGAAATAGAGTTGTTTTTGAAATCAAGTGTCATTACTCTTTCTATATCAATTTCAAAAGCTCAGAAATTCCAAGAAAATTTCCTACCTTTACCTTGGCCTCAATACAACCTTTAAAAAGCCCTCATGATCAATAATTGCATGTTTTCTGAAGTATGTGAATGATAGAGTCTTGTTAATATCAAGGGTGTCTACTTACATGGGTATTTTGAGTGTAAACACAAGCCAAAAACACTTGAGAGAGTTGGAGAGGAATAAATACATATTGACTTGAGTGTTATCTTTCATATTTCATTTTCTTGGGAATTCAAAAAGGTCCACTTATGTGTGAAGAATAGAGTGATTTCATTTGCATGTCCATGACAAAGTAATGTCTAGATGATTGATCTATGTCTAGTGCTACTCATTCTTTTGATCCAAATGCAAATATGAAATAAAATGACTCAGAACAAAGTCTTGGAATTAATCAATTTTGCCCAGGAGTGCAAAAGGATAAGTGTGGGTGTGTGATGAGTGCATATTTATGCCCACATTTATGCTTTAAAATTCAAATTTTTGATGGGATAATTGTGCTTAAATGGTTGATTTTAAGTGAATTTGTGATGATTGGAATTGTTGGGTTTGGGAAATAAAGAGACGTAAAAAGTGAGTTTTAGCGCATAAATTATTCTTGGATGTTCTAATGTTTATTTGTGCAGCTGAGAATATAAGTTTTATTGGTCCAAATGGCAATTCAAGGCCCAAAATCAGATTTTATTTGGAAAATTCAGAACGGGCTAAAGTGCAGATAGAAGAAATTTCAGGGCATTTGTGCAATTTTGGAAAGTCAGAAAATCTAAAAGATAAAATTCAGTTGTTGAATTTAATTTGGGAATATCAACAGAAAATATCTTCCAAATAATTTTATCATTATCTAAATATTTTAGTTATTTGGAAGATATAGGATATAAGATAATTAAGTTAATATCTATCAAATATTCTTTAAAACTGATTTAATCTAATGAATATTTGAAAGATATAATATATCAACAGAAAATATCTTATCAACAAACTATTCAGAGTCCAAGCCCAATCAAGCCCTATTTAAAGAGACCCAGAGGACTTCACTTCATTCATTCTCTCATACTCCTCTCACTTTTCTTTCATCTTGTATTCAACTCCATTCATGGAGAGCTAAGCATCTAGGGCTATTCTGCTGTAATTTCATGACGGATTCTGAGGTTACGTTCAGTTAATGCAATTGTTTACTTTGGTTATTGATTTAAGTTGTTCTCTCTATGTCTTTCATCTCTCTATCTTGTTAAAAGCAAAGATTTTTGCATCATAATATGTTTGAATCTACATGCATATTGATTATATGAGTTTTAGGGTTTCTAGGTTTAAATTGAGAATTTACTTTGATTTAATTTAGGAACTTTCATATGATTAAATGGTTTTTACTATCAATTGAGAATGTACTTTGGTTGGTAGTAATAATTTCAACTATAATCAATTGAGAATTTACTTTGATTGATTAACTTTTAACTTGGTTAGGAGATTTAAGAATAGACATGATTAAACACAATAGATTTTGATTGAGAATGTACTTTGGTTGAATTTATTGTGAATAATCTAGAAAGGTTTTGCATTTGATTGAGAATTTATTTTGGTTAAATGCACGATCGCCCTCAAATTAATTAAGAATGTACTTTAATTAATTTGAAACTTAAACAATTATTCATGAATAACCGATGATGAATCTATCTTGGTAAAGCAGTGAAATTAGCCTATTTAATCATAACCGTTTTTAAGTTTCTTATTTGTTCTTTAAACATTCTCCAAACATTACTTTTATCCATAAGCATTGCATAGCATTCGTAAGAGTCAGATATTCAAAAGCAATTCCGTGTTCGTTGGGAGACGACTCAGGGTTACTTTAGCCCTATCTACCTTCTTGAATACTACTTGACAATACTGAAGTTGCCTTGAAAAGTAGTACTAATTTGATAGCTTCAACGACAACCTATCAAATTTGGCGCCGTTGCCGGGGAATACGGTTAGTATTTTAAATATTTTGATTCTTATTTTGATTTTTCTTTTTATTTTTTATTTTTTTATTTATTTATTTTTATCTTTATTTTTATTTTTTATTTAACACACATACATTTAATTAAATTTGAGTTATTTTGTAGCCTTTAGTCATTCTTGTTTTAGCAAAAATCTTTTTTCTTATTTTTATTAAGAATTTCTCTTGAGAAATACTTGAGGCTAGTTTGAATACACTCTGGCTAGGAAAGACTTGGTACTTAAGTTGTCCGTTGTGACGCACCTCTGTTTCCTGGGAGTGGACCCAACAAGTCTCTCTTATCTCTTATTTGAAATCTTTATCTAAAGCAAGAACAAAAGAAAAAAAAAAGTAACAAAGAAACAACTTCAAGCATATTGCATAGTGCATGACCAGAGCTAATCCGGGAGAATTTTATCAAATTAACCCCGAAGTCGAAAGGAATTTGTGTAAGCTACGAAGAAGTTTGAAATTTGGGTGTTCTACTGAGGGAACACTTCCTACATCTGAAGCCATACCACCTTCATTATCTCTAGTCACAAACATACCATTCAATCCTTTGCCTGATCCTAACCCAAACAATATGGCACAAAGAACCATCAGACAGTTAGCCACCTCTCACAATACAACTATCCGAAGTGACATTGAATACCCTAATGAGGAGTGGGAGTTGAGACCTGACCTGTTAAATGCCTTACCAAAGTTCAATGGGTTATCAAGGGAGAATTCACACAAGCACTTGAGACAATTTCACATGTTGTGTGAAAACTTTAGATCTCCCAGGATCACAATAGAGAGCCTTAAAATGAGAGCTTTTCCTTTTACTCTTCAAGGCGCAACTCAAGATTGGTGGTATTATCTCTCTACACGAATTACAAATTGGGAAACTATTGAAAGGCTCTGAAAGACTCTTTCTTGAGAAGTATTTTCCTGCATCCAGATTATTAGCTATCCGCAGAGAAATTCAAGATATAAGACAGAGAGATAGAGAGAATCTTAGTGAATATTGGGAAAGATTCAAGAAACTATGTTCTTCATGCCCTCAACTCCAAATGGAAGATTTTATTCTAAGCTTTTATGAATGCTTAAGTCCTACTGATAGGTCATTGGCAGATGCTGCAAGCGGAGGATCTTTCTTAGACAAGTCACCAGAAGATAGTATAGATCTAATAGAACGGAAGGCAGTAGACAATCAACAGTATGACACAAGAGAAAATTCAGTGACTTTGTTGAAGGGAGTGCATGAAATTGATAATGGTGCAGTTGATGGAAAGATGATAGATGAAAGATTGAATAAGCTAGAAAGCAAACTCGACGAGATTGCAAGTTTGTTTAAAACCTCAACTCCACAAATTGCTAAGAAGTGTGGAATTTGCATTTCAACTAACCATTATACTGATGAATGTCCTAGCTTGGTCGAAACCACTATGGAAAACCCATCTCAAGCTTTTGCTGCAAACATGATTGGAGGAAATAGACCATACCAGAATTATCATGATTCGTCCTCTAATAGATATCAGCAAAACAGGAAACCTTATGTTCCACCTCAACAAAGGCAGCAATCTCAGCCTGAAATGTCAATGCAAGATTTCATGAAAACAATACTTGAGCAAAATTCAGAAATCAAGAAATCAATTGTAGAGTTGACTCAAAGGGTGGAAAAATTAGAGGCTAAGGAGTCAAATAAACTACCTGGACAAACAGTGATCAACTCACAAAATGTAAGTGCTATTACTTTGAGAATGGATAAGCAAGTAGAAGGCCCTGAAGGAGCCCAAGAGGATGAAGATAAGGAGAAAGAAGGAGCGCAAATTGATGACAATGGAGGATCAAGTGAACCATCACCTAAGACTACCACTGATAAATCCAGGTTAGTATCCTCTAACTCTTCTTCTAAAACTTCTTCTTCTTCTCATTCTCCACCTCCTCCATATCCAAATCGGTTGAAGCCGAGAAACAAAAAAATGGAGGAATTAGACCAAGAGATTTTAAATATTTTCAAGAAAGTGGAGATCAATATTCCTTTGCTAGATGCTGTTAAGCAAATCCCTAAATATGCCAAGTTTTTGAAAGAAATTTGCACAAATAGAAGGCATTTTAGGGATAATGAAGTTGTGAATTTGGGAAGAAATGTGTCAAGTTTGATTAAGAAGCATATTGAAATACCGCGAAAATGCAAGGATCCAGGTATGTTTTCTGTTCCATGTGTTATTGGAAATTCAAAGTTTGACAATGCCATGCTAGATTTAGGGGCTTCCATAAATGTAATGCCTTTATCAGTGTTTACTTCTCTATCTTTGGGACCTCTTAAGACTACTGGTGTGGTCATTAAACTGGCCAACCGTAGCACAGTTAACCCTGCAGGTGTGCTTGAGGACGTCCTTGTCCGAGTAGACAAGTTAATTTTTCCTGCAGATTTTTATATCTTGGACATGAAGGATGATGAAGGAATTAGTCTAACAACTATTATCTTGGGAAGACCTTTCATGATGACAACACGAACCAAGATAGATGTGCATGTAGGATCATTGACAATGGAGATAGGAGATGAGAAGGTGCGGTTCAACGTGTTGGAAGATGGGAAGCACCAAATTAAAGATCATTCTTTGTTTTGTATTGATTTATCAAGTGATGTTGTAAACAATTTTTCTTTAACTAGTTATCATTAGCAATTCTCTCTCTCCCAAAGAAGAAGAAAAGTTGGTTGAGATACTAAAAGCCAACAAAGGAGCTATTGGATGGTCAATCTCAGATCTCAAAGGCATAAGTCTAACTTATTACATGCACAAAATATTTATGAAAGATGATTACAAACTAGTTGCTCAACCATAGAGAAGGTTAAATCCAGTGATGAAGGAGGAGGTGAGAAAAGAAGTGCTAAAGTTACTTGAGGCTGATATTATTTATCCTATTTCTGACAGCGCATGGGTAAGTCTAGTACAGGTTACCAAAGAAAGGTGGGATGACTATTATTTATAATGATAAAAATGAGCTCATACCTACAAGGATTGTTACTGGATGGAGGATGTGTATTGACTATAGGAAGTTGAACAATACTACAAGGAAGAATCATTTTCCCCTTCATTTCATGGATCAGATGTTGGAGAGATTGGTAGGTTAGGCTTTCTATTGCTTTCTGGACGGATATTCTGGATATTATCAAACAGTGGTCGATCCAAAGGACCAAAAGAAGACAACCTCTACTTGCTTGTTTGGAGTTTTTGCTTACAGAAAAATGTTGTTTAGGTTATTTAATGCTGCAGCTACTTTTTAGAGGTGTATGCAGACAATCTTTGCAGACTTAATAGAAAAATACATTGAAGTCTTTATGGCTGATTTTTCAATGTTTGGCAGTTCCTTTCATGAGTGTTTGTCTAACCTGAATGTTGTACTTAAAAGATGCACCCAATCGAATCTTGTTCTAAATTGGGAAAAATGTCACTTTATGGTAACGAAAGGGATTTTTTTGGGTCATAAAATTTCTTCCAGGGGAATTAAGGTTGATAGAGCCAAAGTGGAAGTCATTGAAAAACTCCCACCACCAACCAATGTGAAGGGAATGAGAAGCTTTTTGGGTCATGCTGGTTTTTATAGAAGATTCATCAAAGACTTTTCAAAGATTGCCAAGCCCCTAAGTAGCCTCCTTGTTAAGGATGCACCATTTGTGATGGATGATGATTGCCTTAAGGCGTTTGATGTTTTGAAGAAAAAATTGATTTCTGCTCCAGTAATTATAGCTCCTGATTGGAATCAAGATTTTGAGCTGATGTGTGATGCCAGTAATTATGTCATAGGTGTTGTTCTTGGCCAGAGAAGAGAGAAGGTATTTCACAATATTTTTATTCTAGCCAGGTTCTGAAATGAAGCTCAATTGATTATGCTACCACAGAGAAAGAATTTCTTGCTATTATGTATGCGTTGCAGAAATTTAGACCTTATCTCATTGGGTTTAAGGTGATTATCTACACTGACCATGCAACTATAAAGTACTTGCTAACCAAGCCGGATTCCAAGCCGCGATTGATTAGATGGGTACTTTTGTTACAAGAATTTGATGTGGAAATCCACGACAAGAAAGGGAAGTGAAAATGTAATTGCTGATCACTTATCCCGGTTGATTAACAGTGAAGTCACAAGCAAGGAAGCATAAATTTGGGAGTCTTTCTCAGATGAAACACTCATGTATATCCAACAAAGGCCATGGTTTGCTGATATGGCTAATTTCAAAACTGTAGGAGTAATCCCAGAAGATCTCAATTGGCAACAAAGAAATTTCTTTTTGGATGATGCCAAACAATTCATTTGGGATGATCCTTACTTGTTCAAAATTGAAGCAGATAACCTTCTGAGGCGCTATGTGACTAAGGAGCTATGTGACTAAGGAAGAAGTGGAAGGAATTTTGTGGCATTGTCATGACTCACCCTATAGGGGGCATTTTAGTGGCGAGAGAATAGCTGCAAAAGTGTTACAATCAGGATTTTATTGGCCTACTCTGTTTAAAGATGCTCATAATCATGCCAGGAACTATGATAAGTGTCAAAGGACGAGTACTATTTCTAGACGTCATGAAATGCCATTACAAGGCATATTAGAGGTTGAAGTTTTTGATTGTTGGGACCATCTTTCAATAATGAATACATACTAGTGGTAGTGGATTATGTGAGTAAATGGGTTGAAGCTCTGGTCTGTCCCAAGAATGATTCTAGCACTGTTATTAAATTTCTGAAAAGACAAATTTTCTCCCGGTTTGGAACCCCAGAGTACTCATTAGTGATGGAGGATCTCATTTTTGCAATTTTCAGCTTGCAAAGGTACTCAAGCACTATGGTGTGAGACACAAGGTAGCTACACCTTATCATCCACAGACAAATGGGCAAGTTGAGGTTTCCAATAGGGAGATAAAGAGGATTCTAGAAAAGACAATTGTTTTATCAAGAAAGGATTGGTCTCAAAAGTTAGATGATGCTCTTTAGGCATATCGAACCGCAATGAAGACAGTGATTGGATTATCTCCTTTCCAAATGGTCTATGGAAAGGCATGTCACCTTTCGGTGGAGATGGAACATTGAGCTCTGTGGGCCTTAAAATTCTTGAATTATGATCTTTGTGACACTGCAAAAAAGAGGAGAAGGAAAATTATTGAGCTTGAGGAGATGCAGCTACATGCCTATGATTCTTCCAAGAATTACAAAGAAAAGGTGAAATTTTATCATGACAGGAAGCTGATAAAAAAGGTCATTAATCCAGGACAACGAGTGCTGCTGTTTAATTCACGACTAAAACTTTTCCCTGGAAAGTTGAAGTCCAAGTGGTCTGCTCCATTTATGGTCAAGAATGTACTTCCACATGGAGTAGTTGAGTTGACAGATCCATCCTCTAAAGACCCACAAAGAAGTTGGATGGTCAATGGACAACGTCTCAAGCATTATTTAGGTGGTGAGGTGCAATGCCTTTCCACAGTCATGGAGTTGGTTGATCCAAATTGATTTTTATGGTGTCAAGCTAGTGATGTTAAAGAAACGCTTACTAGGAGGCAACCCATCTTTCTAAACCCTTCTTTTTAGTCATTTGTGTTGTTATTGTACTCTACTTGAATGAACTACATTGCTTTGGTTCAACTGTGCTATGTTTGGTGATAAGTATTGCTTTGTGATGCTCTTGTGTATTGATTGATGTTGAGATGATGTATGATGTGCTGATATACAGGTGATGGCTCACAATATATAAAACATGTGCTTGAGGTAAAATTTAATTGAGATACTAAGTAGGGTGTTTTTCTGAATTCTGGGACTTGAGAGTTTACCTGTGTGAGTTTTGGGCTTCAGAGTTGTTGTGAATGATTGCAATTACTTTGGAAGCATGAATGATTTTGCCCAAGTTTTCTGTGATTGAACTACTTGCTTGCAGGTTCCATATGATCAAGGTCATCCTTTGTTATCCCTTATTATTTTAGCCTTCAAATGATTTTTGTCCACTGAAAAGAAAACAATTTGTTTTAACCTTTGAACCTTGAGTCTTATGCATGTTTTGAAAACCCTTTGAGAAAATCTTTACCTTGAGTTAAGTTAAGAACATTTGTGAGGTATTGATAAAGGTTCAAGTTTGGGGTTGCTGAAAAGGTTGAAAAAAGAAAAGAAAAAGCATTGAGCTAAGCAGTGAATACAGGAAAAGCAAAAGCAAAAGAAAGAAAAGGATGAAAAGAAAAGAAAAGAAAAGTTCAATGCAAGGAAAAGCTGGGAAAAGAAAGACAGTTTGTGCTTGAATGATGATATCATAAATGTTTCTCTTAACTCAAGGATTTTGCTGAATAGAAAAACCAATTATCTTCTTAACCCAGCCAAGTTACAAGCCATGAAAAGCCCTTGTAATGACATTATGATAGTAGAGTGAAAAAGACACCAACACCTCACTATACACCTGTGAGTTGAGTGTTACACTTTTGAGTGCTTGAGTGATACACCTTTTAGTGCTTGAATGAAACACTTTCCTTAGTGAGGAGTAGTTCTTTGAATTTCTGATTGCATCTTTGCTTGGTTGCTTGATCATTCTTAAGGATAGCATTTGTTGAAGTATATGAGCATCACATTGATTTTGATTGAAATAAGGCATCTGTACATCTTGACTGACATTTGTATGTTGAGCTGATAAAAGTGATCTCTTGTCTTGAAAGAAAAAGTTTTGAAAAATGTTAAGTCATTATAGTGATTGTTCTGAAAAGCTAAGTTACAATCTGTTTTTCTTGAGGACAAACAAAGTTCTAAGTTTGGGGTTGTGACAACGATTGAAAATACCGTTATTTGTGATGTAATTTTGATACTAAATGCACCCTTTTGTGCTTAGAAACTTGCTTGGAATCATGTTTTTTTGTTAAGTTGTGTGAATAAGAGAGTTGAGGTTATATTTGATGATTTTATGACTAATTCTCCTTGTTTTGATAGAAAATGAGATAATATGGAAAGCAGGGATGAAGTCCCATGGAGATGGAGCTCAAAAAGGCCTGGAAAAGCACTAGAAGGGAGAATGGTCGAAGCTTGGGCGCCTTTTTTGGAGGCTTGTGCATAGGAAACCACCGCTCACCGTCCGAGCAACCTTTTTGGGGCGTTTGAGCTCCAGAAGCATGAAGCTTGGGCATCCTTTCTGTCTTCGATCTATTTAAAGGACCCAGTCATCCTATGTTTGGTATATCTAACTAGAGTAGCACAACAACACACTCTTCCACTCTCTGAAGGCGAATTTGGATGCGAGAGCTTCCATCCTCTACTTTTAAGGTTTTGCTATCTCATGCTTTTCCATTATTCATCTAGTTTCACCATGTCTATGGGGAACTAAACTCTAATTATTGTTGCGAGATGATGTAACCTTTAGAACTCTCATGTATTTGAATTGATTCTTAATAACATATGTTTTTTTTCATTAATTGTTAGAGTAATTCACATTTAATTGCTAGGAATGCTACGAATTGCATGAACTGGTGATTGAGGACAAACTTATTTTGCTGAGGGATCGGGTTTTAGTGATTTGGTGAGTGACTTGGATAAATCTAACCCCAACAACATACTCATCTCATATTAAACAACATTCTTTCATCACTGTGCTATTATGCTATTGATCAAACTGCATTTATATTTAATTTTCTTTCTTTGCATTTGTAGCCAATGATCTCGTTTT